TATCAACAGCAAGCCTCCGGCTAATCAACACACGCGCCCTCAGAACAAGGATAGCCTTCGGCTTCAGCATTGTACTCCATTTCAAACCAGGGCTTCACATTTTCGATTCATCGTTGGGGGAATTCGGTGCACTCTTTTTCCCTCATTAGGATTTTTTCCCACAGGGTTTTTTCCTAATGAGGTTTTTAACGAGGCATCCCCCCAAAATGAAACGAAAAGCGTCAGCCTTCGGCCCAATACAACAACATGATTACTCTACTCCTTTTCACCACTTTGCAAGTGCCTCAAGGAGTGGGGGACTGGAGAACCCCCTCAGGACAAATAAAAAAAGTGCAAAACGCTAAAAACTCCCACAAACAGCAGACATGACCCCTCAAGTCCCGACATGTGGGTAACTGAGGGACTGCCCTCGGCAGAATAAACAAACAGCAAACTACCCACAAGTCTACAAACTACAACGGAACAACGGCAGAGGGCAAACACAATTACTCCTTTTCCCTCAAGTACCTTTCGGCAAAAGGGGTGAGGGACTCCTGATGGAGTATATGGCCCGGGAACCCCCAGCCCACAGACTCCTACTACTCCAATAAAGGCCCAATAGGCCCAGGAAGCACAACAGACCCAAATCACGGCGCCCAGAGTACCAAGCGGCCCACAATGCGCACCAGGGGTGCCTTCGGCTCCCTGGCCGAAGGCTTTGAATCTCACAGGAGGGTCAAATCAGGAAGACAAGGTTACTGGGAGAAAACGGCGAAAATCAGTAACCCTCGGCACCTAGAGCCCTCGGCACTAAGGGGGTCCCCGGTACTCAGAGCCCTCAGCTAATCATATACAGCCGAGGGCACCTTTCCGACATAATATCCGCTCCACATGCGTGTAGATCACCGTACCAAGTACGACATCACATCCAACAGCCGCATTAAATGCGGCCACATGCGATTGTCAGCGCCAACCAGTTGAGGTGACCCCTCGGCCAATGGATCCTTGACACGTGTCCCCATCTGGCATTTATTGCTGCTATAAATAGCACCCCATTCCCCCATTTGTAAAAAAAAGAAAATACGTTGAATACACTTTCTAATATACTCTCTCTCTACTTACTTGCTCTGGCTTCTCTCTAGTCATTCCCCGTAATAACCCCTCGGATAAGCTACCCCTCGGGTATACTATTCATCAAATATATTACTTGATTCCAGGAAAGAGTTTGGACACGGGTTTGAGAAGTGTTAAGTTTGATTCTGAGGTGAGAGATATGTACAAATTAGTTCTGCAATGTGGTGTAATAGATTGCTACATTAGACATGGAGTAAGTACACCTGAATTTGTACTATAGCTTGAAGGGATTGGGGAAAATATAGGAGAGCTTGGGGTTCTAGGAGGTCTATGGGGAGTCATACACCAGCATGTGTAGCAAGGCCTAGAGCAAAAACAATTGAAGGAGGGACTACACTACAACCTGAGATAGACACTGGGAAAGAAACTAGGACTTTTGATGAAGAGGAAAATGTTGAATCATAAGACATTGAGCAAGAAGAAGAGGTGGGAAATGAAGGTGAAGAGGAATTTCAAGTCCCACTATTTGGATCTGACAATGACACAAGTGATGAGGAGTTTATGGAGTCTAGAAGAAGAGTGACAGGGTGGAATTTTAAGATCATTGACATAGCAAAGCAACTAGAAAAAGAAGCAGTTAATGGTTTTAAAGGGGGTAAGCAATCATCACAAACAGGTTCTCATGACCACGCAAGTTCTCATGACCAGGCAGGTTCTCATGACCACACTGATTCAAATAAAGTTGACTTTGTCAGTGAATATGAAGAGTCAAATGGTGATATCCACACACCTCCAGACACTAACAGTGAGGATACCTTTCCAAAAAAAGAAGAGATAGACCTCCTGTGGTGAATGAATATACAGATTTCAGTAAGCTTGTTTGGATGGTTGGTATGAGGTTTGCAAATAGAGACAAGTTTAAAGATGCAGTTACTAGGTTTGCGATTGCTCAAGGGAGGAACCTAAAGATAAATACAAGCAGTAAGGGCAGACACCAAAGAGTTGGTGCTAAATGTGTGGATGGTTGTCCTTTCAGGATTTATGCCAGTGGGGATAGTAGGATAGCTTATTTTTTAGTGAAGTCTGTTGAAGGGGATCATTCTTGCAACAAGAACATGTAAAGAAATAGGCAAATGAAGGCTTCATGGGTGGCAAACCAGTTTTTAGAAGTCTTTAAATCTAGACCTCACTGACCACCAAAGGACATTATTGAAACAATTAGTAGAGGTTACAAAATAGTGGTGCACAAGGACTATGCATACAAAGTTAAATACCATGCACACAGGAAACTTCATGGTAGTATGAAAGATCATTACAATAAGCTTGGAAGATATCTTGAAGCTTTAACCTAAGCTAACCCCTTAGTCATTTTAAATTAATGACATATCCTAAACCTCAAACCTTCCCCCCCACCTTCCAGAGGTTCTTTGTTTGCTTTAATGGTGTGAGAGATGGGTGGTTGAGTGCAGCAAGAAGGGTGTTGTGTGTGGATGGCTACTTTATCAAAACTTTCTTAGGAGTGATGCTTTTATCTGCGGTTGGGAGAGACTCTAAGGACCAGATGTTCCCATTATCTTGGGCAGTAGTAGAGGGTAAAAACAACAATAGTTGGGAGTGGTTTCTAGCAGAGTTGAAGAAGAACTTTGGACAAACAAATGATGCACATCTGACTTTTATTTCAGATGAACACCAGGTCATATTTATTGTGTGTAATGTACTTTAAATTTAATTTTAGTTAACTCCACTAGTATACTTACTTTTACTGTATTCGTTTTATTGTGTTCAGTCCATTTTGCGTGGAGTCTCCACCATTTTTCCAATGGCAGAGCACAAACATTGTGCACGACATGTTTTTTGCAAACTGGCACAAGACACATAAGGGGGATGAACTATAAAAATGCTATTCTGGAAAGCAGTGAAGGCATATAATGAAGCTGATCTCCAGGATGCATTAGATGAAATGGAAAAGATAAGTCCGAGTGCAGTGATTGGTTTTAAGGCATGCAATCCCCAAGTTTTTTATAGAGCATTTGTTAGGACTACCAGTAAGTGTGATGTCATTGTCAGTAACATGGCTGAAACGTTTAATGGATACATCATCAATGCTAGAGCCAAACATATCATTTTAATGTTAGAAGATATACGGGGAGCCTTGATGCAAAGGATGGTGTTGAAAAGGCAAGCATTAGAAGCATCTAAAGTTGTGATATGTCCCACGATCAAGATCAAACTAGAGAAAGAAAAACATGATGCAGCCCATTGTACCCCCATGCCATCTAGCCAAGTTAGTTTTCAAGTTAGCCATTATCTGGACACTTTGAATGTTAATTTGGACACGAAGACCTGTACTTGTAGAAAATGGGATCTTAGTGGAATCTCTTGCTGCCATGTAGTGGCCTGTATATTCTTCCTAAATGCGTCCCCTGATGATTATGTTGATGCATGCTATAGGAGAGAGACTTATTTGAAAATGTACTCAGGTGACATAGCCCCATTGACTGGAGAAAGACATTGGCCTAAAGTAGACCTTCCTTTGGATCCTCTACCAATAAAGATCGATCCTGGTAGACCAAGAAGGAATAGGATCAAACCTCCCCATGAAAATCCTAAAAAACCTGGAAAATTAACTAGGCATGGGGTTGATATGTCTTGTAGTATTTGCAAATCTTAGAGCCACAACAAGAGAAAGTGTCCTGACAAAAATAAGTTAGTGGAGGCCCAACCAAAGAGGAGTAGGGGGAAGACCAAGAAAAGAACTCCAAACTGCATCAAACTCTACATCTCATCATGAAACAATAGCACAACCCTCAAGACTAGGCAGGGGAAGGAGAGTGATTCATGGCAGAGGGGTGACCAGAGGTGGGAGAGAAGCAGGTAGGGGTGGGAGAGGCAGCGGAAACATTCCTGTGGGCTATGGTGTAGTGGTTGATGAGCAAGGACACACTTGGAGTAATGTAAGATATTTATAAATCTGTGAGTATGAGTATATTTCAATAATTATACATAACTTCTTTCTAACTTGAAATATGTGTTTAAGATGCGTGTACAGAGTCCTGGACAAAATGGAGGGGCAAGGAATCTATCAGAAATATGAAGGCTGGTGTGAAGAATGCTGGAATGAAGAGTTTATGTCTTTGTTTATGTTTTCTATGTTTAGGGTGAAGAATGCTGGAATGAAGAGTTTATGTCTTTGTTTATGTTTTCTATGTTTAGGGAGTGGACATGTGGTAGTATGTTAGTAATATTCTCACAATCTAAGAACAATGATGTTAGATGTGTTAAATGTGTGTGTAATTTTGCAATTCTGGTGCAACGTCTGCTTGTAATGATGATGTTAACATTTGTGCTCATATGGTGTAATGCAACTGAAGGATCGATCCCACAGCCGGGAGGCAGACTACTGATATTGTCTGCTTTGGGTTGCCCCTCACGGATTTAAAACGCGTCAATAGTGGTGAAGAGCCCAGGGCTTATAAGAGCCTAGCCTAGGCATTCCTACCGAAGAGGCGGGTTTAAGATGTGCGAGTTTCCCCGACTCAAGAGACTGGTAGGCCCATACCTAATAACAACTCTGGTTTACTATATTGTTGTGGTCAGATGGTTTAATTCAGTGTGTTATTGTGTTAGTGATTTATGGTTATTGTGTTGATTCAAACTTGGATAGGTGATACTAATTTATGGTTATTCAGTTGATTCAAAGTTGGATAGGTGTTAGTGAATTATGGGTTACTGATTTGGTTGTGAAGCAATAAGTATTACATGCTTTTGTTAACTGTTCTGGCCTAACCATTTGTTATGAGTTAGTGATTTGGTTGTGAAGCAGTAAGTGTTACATTGCACTTTCTGAAACTTAGCACTCTTTGCACACAAATCATAACTTCACACATTCATAGTATACTAACTCAACAAAAGTTCTCATTAAGAACAAAATAAAATAGTACATTACATAGACAACACACTCCACCACACTAATACTAATTAGTATACAACAGACTTCACCACACATTCACAGTATACAACAGTCTCAACATACAACACTACTCCACCAGACTTTACCAAAACATTGAGCAAGACTCCAAGACTTTACCAGCAATCATTTTGAATTCCCATACACCACAACAACAAACAAGACCCAAGACATAATCAGACATATATATGCACATTTCTCTCCTTTTCCTTGCTTGCAAACTGAAGTTTGCAACTCTTCGATTTTAGCTGTCATCTTTAGCTTCTTCTTTTTCAACTTTGCAATCTTCTCTTCTAACTTTTTTTTCTCTTCAATGAGCCGGTCAATTACACTTTCCTTCTCACTTATTTTCCAATCATCCTCTTGCATACAATGGTATTCCTCAACCCATTGGAAGAATGAGCAATCAACTTTCTACAAAAATAAAATAAGTGAAATAATCTGATTCATTAAATCATCCAAAAATTTCCATATATAAGTGATAAATATTTGAACTTACTGGCCATAACGCACACCCATAGAACCTTCGACCAATGTTTGCCCCAGATTTCACGATCCTAGGTTTCGAATATATGTTGTGGTAACACTGAACGAAATTATGACTCTTCGTTTCATCGCTCCTTCCCCATGAGAACGACCCAGAATTCGATTTCCCAGAATTTGTAGGCATTTTTCGCTCCAGACAAGAGGTAGATGAAGAAGAAAGATGGAGCTCGAACCTGCTCCAGACAAATGTGGTAAGGAGACGAAGGAGGATGCAGAATACCCTAAATAAATACACGCGCTGTATCACGTGATATAATAAGCGGCTATCATTTAGGCTAACCGGTCATAGTTTAATTAGGAAAGATTACCCCCTAAGTTGGGATTAAACAGATAAAACTCGTTGTTGGGATTATTAGAAGCGGACCGCCCATAGTTCGGATTATTCCAGTCAATTTTTCCTTTATCATATCATTTATCTAAGTATAATGTTTTATTCATATATTATCTCATTTTCCATTCTGCATTTATTTACAGTTACCCTTTCTTCCTGCGACGTCTTTGTATATCAGAGCCAAAAACGGTCCGTTTATAATAGCCGATTTATATTACTTAATTTAGAATGAAAAATGAATTAAAAGTGACATTTTAAAAGTGAACATTACAAGTTATTATTAGCCCAATATATCATTCACATAATACATTGTATTGTATATAATATTGTCAGTATTATGTTATTACTATTACTATTATTAATAATATTATTAATATTTTTGCCAAAAAATGCTATTAATATTATTAACCATACGGTCCAGCCCAGGGCATACCTTATTCCGGCTCAACTAAAAACTCCAGCCCAGCAAATATAACACAGCGAGTACGCATGTCATTGTCTCGTTCGTAAGCCTGCACCGCCGCACTGGCGAACAGGATGACTCCTCCAGGCGATAGGATGCCAATTCAGGGTGCGGTAGGGATTTTTTGACTCATAGGAACAAAATTCCTGATGCAAGGAATGGACATGATTTAGCTGATTACAGAGAGTAGAATCAGATTCAAAACAGTGTTGTTGCGAGCTCGAGTTCGTGGTCACCTGTTAAAAGTGGGCTGGGCATGGTTTTGACCCAGATGACAAGGAAAAGGGTTCCCCTGTAGAAGCCGTGGTTCAGCCTGTTGCTTTGATCACATCATAACACTACCTCGGGCTCCACCCAGGGAAGTTGCAAGGCTAGAAATGAAGATGAATTCTATAGTCTATACCTTTGGTAACTCAGATGAGCAAGAGTGGGCTACAGTGTATGGGTATGTTTATCAGTCTCTGTCTGGATGTCCATTCTTTCTTTATTTGCAGTATTCAGGTTGAAGCTGTAATGCTTTTTATAGACATTTGATATTGTTTGGCTTGAGAATGCTCTACATGCCATTGGTAATGTCTCCATCGCTAGGAAGTTATGATTATTTGAAACACTTCTTAATTGTGGTCTGAGAATCGCAATGAGGTTGTTATATACATAGTATTACATAATTTGGTTTGTTGAGGTCGGTTAGATTGACATGGTATGGCAGATGGAGAGATACTCCATAATATGGTAAACATGTATTGTGGATGAATAGATAGGGCAAATATTCTATATTAAGTTAGTAACAATGCACATAACTAAGATCGCACCAACTGTTTTGATTACATAAATTACTCATTGTCCCACTACTTATATTTCATTTGATTTTGTTTTTTTGAATGTTGAAGTAGGGATGTGGAGAAGAAGCTGGGTATATTACGTAACTTAGTGTGTGGAAGCCTGGTATACCTGAGGGCTTTTCTTCCAGATCTTCATTCTCAGGTTTGGAAGCTATCTTTTTGTGCTCTATAATTGGTTTTTTATCTCCTAAAGGTGTAAACTTTGAAGGTATTTATTGAGTTTTCAGCTCATATGTTATTGTAATCTTTGTGTTATATCCTTAAAAATGTTACAATACCTTAATTTTTTTTCTTGATTGATGGGATGCCAATGCTGTTGATCCTTGTAGCTGGTCCATGGTTACTTGCTCTTCAGATGGTCTTGTAGTTGGACCGTAAGTTATTACTCCGTAATATTTTTTTGTTTTTATTGTGTAAAAAGCCAGATTTTCTACAATCTGGTGTTTTATCATCCCAGCATGTACCTGATGTTTTGAAGGTTATAAACGAATTTAAGCATAATGTCCATTTTGTTGAGATTGACATTACTGAAGACACTAAGATTGATATTACTCATATTGAGTTGAACAATTGACATTACTGAAGACCTTGAGATTGCCAAGCCAGATGATATAATGGCTACACCATGTGTACACTTCTTCACAAACAACTGAACAAGGAAATGCTCAAGTACGCTTCCCCCATTTGTTTATTGCTTAACAATTTTGTTTCCTAACCTTATCCTATTCATCTTTTCACAAATCTTTGTTATTGCCAAACAACTTCTTTTCATTTATAAAAATATAAACTAATCAAATTTAATAGTACATTTGATTTGATCTTTTTAAAAAAATTCCCCTAAATAAATTTGCTTTCGTTCCAAATATTCCATGTTTTATTTTTTCCGTAGCCGCACTAGTGTAGGGAGGACTGCAGAGTTCCCTATTACTATCGGAGTGCACCAAGGATCTGCTCTGAGTCCTTTCTTATTTGCTATAGTCATGGATGAACTTACGAAGTTGATATGAAGCAAAATCTGGGCTTGGAAGAAGATGGGCAGAAGCCCCCGTGGGTTGACTGAAGGCGGGAACGGGCTTGAGCCCACCTTCGTGGGTTGGTTACGGGCTGCTTAATTAATATTTATTCTTTTTAATTTTCCTGATTTGTTTCCTATTTGGAGTTAATTAGGATTTCTAATATTTGTTTCCTATTAGGAGTTAAATAGGATTTCTATTATTTGTTTCCTAATTCCTATTTGAAGTTGATTAGGATCTTTTTTTATTCTATTTCCTAGTTGGAGTTGATTAAGATTTCTAGGATTTTGTTTCCTAGTTTGGGAATTAGTAGATGTGTATTTAAACTCCTTGTTAGGATTCATTCTGGCTCATCTTGGAATAAAATTGGAGTTTAGCCTTTTGGCTCTGGGCAACGGTATTTTTATCGTTGATTATCTGGGCAACAGTTTACCTCGTTGATTTCTATTTTTCTGTTACACAACAGAAGTCAATTCAAGAAGATATACCGTGCTGCATGATGTTTGTCGACGATATTGTATTGATTGATGAGACACAATCCGGTGTTAAAGCAAAGTTGGAAGTATGACGACAAACATTGGAGAGCAAGGGTTTCAGACTGAACCGAAGCAAGACTGAGTATATGGAGTGCAACTTCGGTGGAGGTAGAAGTAGTATCAACAATGGGATTACTCTTGATGGTAAGGAAATACCGGTGTGATATGTTCCGTTACTTGGGATCCATAATCCAGAAGGATGGTGAATTAGATGGAGATGTATGCCATAGAATCAGAGCTGGGTGGATGAAATGGAAGAGTGCTTCAGGATTTATATGTGATCGAGGTATGTCGACTAGACTGAAAGGTAAATTTTATCGTACAACAATTAGGCCGGCATTAATGTATGGCGTAGAGTGTTGGGTGGTGAAGCAATGCCACATTCAAAAGATGAGTGTGGTAGAGATGCGTATGTTGCGTTGGATGTGTGGACATACCAGAAAAGACCGCTTGTGGAATGAGGTAATCAGACAAAAGGTGGAAGTAACACCTATAGTATAGAAGATAAGATGCAGGAGTCTCGTTTGCGGTGGTTTGGGCATGTGCGTAGAAGACCGAGTGATGCACCTGTTAGTCGACTTGAGGGGTGGGGAGAAGAGTCAGAGAAGAGAGGGAGGGGAAGACCCAAACAGACTTGGATTAGAGGAATCAGAACTGATATGCGTCTTCTTGGGTTGGATGAGAGTATGGCTTTGGAGAGAGCAAAGTGGAGGGCGCACATCCGTGTGGACGATTGATGTCTTGTCTACCTTTCCTCTCTTTTTTCTTTTATCGTTTATCTTCCTTATCTTTTTATATTCTTATGTTATTTTTATCTTCTAGTTTTTTTTATGCTTTTTTATTTTTTATCTTTTATCTTTCTTATATTCTTGTGTTAATGTTATCTTATATTTATTTATCTTTATTTTATTCATTTTATCTTACTTTTTTTTTCCTTTTCTTGTCCGTCTTCTCTTTCTGGCATAGATATCATAGATCGATTCATGTTAGCCGACCCCAAATTCTTTTGGGATTAAGGCTTGGATGTTGTTGTTGTTGTATTTTTTCCGTAATATTTATTGAGTTCCCAACAGACCCTTAGTTGATGGGGTTTGTTCATATCCAGAGGAGCTCTAAGCCAGAGCTTATCCCGAGTGCTCTCTACAAGCATTGTAAATTTGTAAATTTGACAAACATCCAGACCTTGTAAGTGCTAATTTCTTAAGATTACGGCTTGATTCTAATTAAAAAATCATCTAGGCTATAATAAGCAATAATGTGATTGACAGATTCTTACAGAACAACAACATAAATGGACTGATCCGAGATGAGATCGGACGCCTCCTCAGTAATCTTCTATCTCTTGATCTTTTTAACACTCTTTCCTGGAAAAATCCTTCTTCTCTAGGCCACTTGCAAAGGCTGAAGTATATGTAAGCATTTATTAAGATTTCATAAATGAATTGTTTAATTAATTTAATCATAATACTACCTCCGTCTCACAATGTTTGGGACAAGAGGGTGTGGCACACCTTTTAAGAAAAAGTGGAATTGTGTGGTTGGTATTGAATCGATGAAGTGTGAATAAAGTAAAAATGACTTGTAACCACTTAAATATTACCAAATATAGTATTGGACAAACTTAATGGGACAGATGAAAAAGGTAAAACGGGACAAAGTTAGGGGGAAGGAGGGAGTAATAATAAAGTTTATTGTGTGGGTTAGGAGTCTCAACAATAACAGTTTATCTGGAGCAATTCCAATGTCTTTGACCAGCATGACCCAGCTTACTTTCATGTAAATCTCTGTCCCCCTTGTTCAATATATGTTCATTCTCTTACAACTTTCTGATTGAGCATGACAAGTAAGCTTACTTTTCTAGTAGCATTTAAACGTTAGATAAACCTAAATTCATGAGGGCATATAGCGGCAGATCATGTCTCGCCTAAGTTCGATAAAAATCACATTTTCTTGTGTAAAATTAAAGTGGAGGAAAATTGCATGAAAGAATTATTTTCTCTGGCCTACCTCAAATTCAAAAATTTGTTTTACATTACATTACTTCTCATTATGGCTTGCCAAGCATTGCCTTTGTTTGAACATTTCATGAAATCATACTATTTCTTATTTGGTTTAGCATATCCTTCATTTTTTCTGCGTTAATTGCTGCATTGCAGGAAATCCTTTAAATGTGGCACCGGGTGGAATCATACTGCAATGGCATGGCTCTGCTGCGGTAGTGCTGCCTATGTCAATGCCAGTTGACCCTTAAGAAAGCCGAGTTGGTTAAATACGGTACGAGAAATGAACGGTGCGTAATACGTTGGTGTTTTATTCAATGGCATGGATAGAGCTGTCAAACGAGTCGACCCGACCTGGCCCGTAATGGGTTATGCTATATGTGGCTTGGGTCGGGCTCATACTTGTCACGTCGGTAAGTCGAGTCGCGGCGTCAGCTGACTGCCATATCGCCTAGGCGACAAGGCGCCCGCCTAGGCGACAATTAGGTGACTAGTCATCTATATGTGTATATTATATAGGCTAAAGGGTCAAATAGGCCTCTGTACCTTTCCAGATTGTTCAATTTGCCCCCCGAACTCAAAAAACCTCCAATTGGCATCCTGAACTCCATAAAAAGATTCAAATTTTACT